CTCCCCCTCGATCCCACGGTCGCGGAGCGGGGCCACCCTGGGCCGTGCACCCTAAGGGAACCGTGGATCTCCAAGGCACCCCAGCCCCTTCCCCGGCCGGGGCTCGTGGCGCCGCTTCCAGCCGCGACCGTCGGGACCGAGTTTCAACCTGTTCCCCTCGGTCCTCACACCGTCCGTCCCTCAGGGCAGGTCACTCCGCAGGCTGTCGGTGCCGCTCAGCCTTGCAGCCCCCGGCGAGGGCTGCTCTCGGTGGTGGGCGGCTGTGCCGGTGCGAGCGGGTCGCTGCTCCTCGGCCGCGGGAGGGTTAACGATCATTAGCGGCAGCCTGGGGAAGCTGCTTGTATCCACCTACCCCTCAGCTGCTCTGTGTAATTACTCATGTTTTGGATTTTTCTTTGCTTGGGTCTACTAAATTGTACTAAATTGTGCTGCTATTGAAATGTTTTTTCCTGCGGTTAAGATATTGCAAGGCAGAGAAAAATCGCTCGCTCATTTTTCTGTTGTCACGTTTGAATACACTATGTAAATGACCCGCTGAAAAAGCTCAAATTACATATTTCCACGCAAAGTGAGTTTTTGTGTTGATGTGGGACCAGACAGCCCCTTCCCTGCACTTTTGTGTAATTCAGGTGTTAAATGTTTTTTCTCTACTGCAGCTCTACTTTTTTTTTCTGTTGTTTTTTGTTAATTATTTTGTTGATTAGTTGGCTGTAATCAGAATCAACTTCTCTGATTTTTTTTTCTCTTGGCTTACTCCTTTCTGAATCTTCAGTTTGTCAGAGAGAAAAAAGTTAAAAAAATGCCCTACTGCTTAACTAGATGAGGCAATGCTTTGCAGCTCATGTCTTCTCATACTTTAGTTGTGCCTTTCGCTGGGAAATATCCTTAGGATAACTTCATAGTATTGGTTTTAGGGCACTTTTGGAATTGTCAAGGCAAAAAAATTGGCAAGCATTGGCATTTTTTTACTTGTGAATTGGCAATGAATCATTCTTGTCTTCTGTGAAACGTGCATTTTGCAAACTCACTAGTCTGGGCAAGTAAATTTCAAACTACAGGTTGCTTGCAAAATATTCGTGTTTGCCAGTTCTGGCACGTGACTGATTTTGTTTTCTCTTTTCTCTGCCAAGATGCCAGAAACATACTTTGTGTTACACAGACAAGCGAGATCTGGACTTTGCCTTAACATCGTCCAGATAAACAGCTTTATGTTAATCAAGTTTGTGTTATGGCAAAAAAGCTTGAAGAGCAGTTTCCCCCATCTCTTTGAGATGTATTATACAGGATTATTCAACATATCTGACTTTCCTAAATACCTAGTTTCCTAATGGCTAGGTTCTCTCTTCTCCAAGAATTTTCAGATTTGATTGATTATAACATAAAGCAGTGTTTGCTATGAAATTACATTTAATTTGCTGTATCGTGCTTTTGTCAGGTAAATCTTTGACCTTTTCTGTATACCATTAAAAGCTTTTTATTATATTCCTGTAGAGCTCTCAAGTACAAAGCAAGTAGCAGTAACTCCCTAGCAGATCTAACATACAGTTTTCTTTAGATATAGGAATATAGCTGGCAAATTTAGTGATCTCTGCTCTTTTATAGTTGTGGCTTTTAAATTATTTTTAAAATAACAGTGCCATCGGGAGCATAACAATTAAACTTTCCAGTAAAAGAAAGGGGTCAGATTTTTTTTCTCTCACATGTAGCACTGTACATCAGTTCTGATTAGCTGTACTCTCTTATGATTTGTATCCTTAATTATCATTAAGAACTTAAGAGGATACCTTTGTCTCTAACTGCAGATCTTTCCTTAACTCAAGTTCCTTGAATCCATCACTACATCAGTGGCATAATTAATACTTGGTGTGATGTGGTTGATTTAGATTACAGTCCAAGGGACACAAGGTAAAAAGATAACAGCTAAATCTTAGTAGTGGCCAACCCCCCATCTGGAGTCCTTGTTTGTGCTGCCTTGCCAGCTATCTTGTTAAGAACTAGCAGCTGGTACCATTCTCTGCTTGAGAAACCCAGACTATGCGGGGGTTAAAACCATATTTTGAGTGGGCTAAATACATCATGTTTGTAGAGTTCTTCATTTTCAGCTCTCCCAAGTCTGGCATCAGCAAATGAAGATGAGAAATGGTATCTATATGTGTTATAAACCTCTCAAGATGTTTTGCTGTTCAGGGTTTCTGTTGCCCCTATTGTAAAAGCGGTGACTTTTCCAGTCAGTGAGATGGTTTCCAAGGTGGCATCAGTGACAAAGTCATGGATTCCCCTGCTCTGACACTTGGCTCATGGTAGTAGCCTTTCTTCTTGCAGCTTTTAACGCAGCTATTGCACTGAGGCTTTTTGCAAAACACCTGTTGGGATCTTTACCAATATACTAATAAGATCAGTTTTGAGTTGTTGAAAAGTCCTACTAAAGGCCGTCTCTGCAACAATGTTAGCCTTCTCTTTGAAAGCTGGAAAACTAAAAAGAGCATGAGGAAATGAGCTATAGAACTATAGGGATTCATGGGGTGGTGCATAATCTGACATAATCTTGGCCGTCCAAAAGTTGGGTTTATCTAAGAGAATCACTTAAGGTCGATCTGCAGTCAGCTGGGAAAGGAGAACCTTTAGCAGGCAATTCTTGGGCAATTTGTCTGAACTGTTAGTTGTACTACCAAAAAAAAAAAAAATTGATTAAATACTCAATGGCAAAGCCAAATTGTTTTGTCCTCAGATTTCTTAATACATTTTCTTTGCAGTCTAACGTGCTGCATGTTTTCTTAAAGGACTGTGAGTTCTGCTAATGGAAGTAATAACTTCACAAGTGGTTAACCTCAAGGAAGGAATGCCTGTCTTTGTATGTGTTGGGTGTGAGCATGTATTGTCTTCAGGACTATGGCTGTAATTACAACCACATGAACTTGAGTCCTAGGAAACTAGAAGCCTTACAGCTCAGCTCATACATCTGGAAACTTTAGGGATTAAATCTTTGCTCCTAGTAGGTGATGAAAGTTTTGCCAGCGCCTTAAACAGGGTCAGAAATCCATCTAAAGGTGTCTGTATGGGTAAGATTGCTTCCCAGATAGGGATTATGTGTCTCCTATTGACTTCTGTGATCAATTTTTGCTGTCTTTTAGATGTGCAGATAAGGCGAACAGTGTGGAATGTAGCTTTTTTTTTTTTCAAAGCTTAAAGGGAGGTAAAATTTCAGAGATTGAGATTGAAAAAACAGAGTCCTATGGAAATACCAGGGGACACGCGTCAGGGTTCCAAGATGCTCTTCCTTTCTGAAAAAACTTTGGATGTAAATAAATGAATGCATTACTTAGAGCAGGAATACACTTTTTAAATTAATATCTTGATCACCTGCATTTACTGCTCTTCAGTTTGCATCTCAGAGCCTATAAACTGATTTTCTTTGGGATAAAACTGAGTCAGAAGGACTTGAGGAGCTCGTTTAATGTACTCCAAGTGCTAATGCACATTCAGTCTACAGGATTTGGAGATAATTGGAAGTAAAAGCCACAAAAAAGTAGTGTGAAAACTGTGCCCTTAATGCCAAGTATTTCACTCTACTGCTCTGCTCCTACTGGTAAGGTTTTGCTCTCTTTATTAGTGTAAACTTAGGATATAGCCTGTTGACCAACTGTCAACCAATTTTATGTAATATAATTCTTAGTATATATGGACAGAAAAAAAATACAAGGGAAAGAATAAACATCATAGCATAATGATAAAAAAGTTAAGAGAAGACATCAATAACAGGAGCATGTGTCGATTAGGTAACGATAGAAACAAATAGTCTTTTATTTAATAAAAAACACTCTCAAAGGAAGGAGGTTACTGAAGTGTATAGGTTTCTTATACATCAGTTCTATAGAGACAGTTTCTGAAAAGGAACAATAAAATTACAGAGCTTTTGGCCCTCATCCATCCCAAAAATCCTTCAATAGATACTTTTTGACAGGACATGTTTCCTAAAATGTTGACAGTATTTTCTCAGCAATGATATATTAAGGTCTATCAGTCCCCTGCAGTGAAATGTCTAGAAATATGTGTAAGATTTTCTTGAAGTTTATACCCTTAGATGTGAAAAAGACTTGCAAGTCTAAGCTAGTTGCCACACTCTTATTAGGGGGGATTCACCTCATTCGAAAATAGATCAGGGGAAGGATCCTCTGGAGGTGCTGTGTTCCTTCTGTTGACTATAAACAGAGCATCAGGTGACTCTCAGGTGTCTAACTGGGTGTCTGGAGTTAAGTGAGGCGTGATTCATCTTGCTTTACTGAGGTAACTGAACTAAATGTCTACACACAATTCTTCGGCTTGAAACAGAGGACAGAACTGACTGGTATGCTTCAGCATCCTACAAAGGTGTTCTAGTAGAACAAAACTGTCCTAATATTAAAAGAGCAGGCAGTGTGCTCCAGAGCTGAGATTCAAAGTGGAGCTCCTGGTCCAAGGGCAGCAGACCTGGCTGGTGAGCTGAACAATAAGGATGTCTTTTTGCTGAGCTGTGTTTCTTGATTAATTATGCTCTTTCAGGCCAAGTTTTATTTGGCATTTATAGACATGAGTATTTATAGAATCTAATTCTCTCTGTGGGCTCCTGGGTTTGCCAACTGTGAAATGAAATGAAAGAATTATCTTTTAATTTGCTCTTGAAAATGAGGGTGGGTGTATGATACAGTAATTTTGCTATCTGAATCAGGGGCCTCTTGTGAACAGAAGGTACCATTTGCAGAACTTCATGGTGGTTTTGTGGTTGTGTGGGTGATGGAAATGCATGGGAAAAAACTCTACTGAGCATTTTTGAAGAGAAAAAGTAGCTGCATAACTGAAACTAGAGCTGGTCAAGCTCCACAGCACAAGGCCAGTTTATTTTCTAATAAACAGTTTCAGTGGAATAGCTGTTAGGGAAGAATTTGGCCTATGAAGTTTAATGATTAGTTGGTGTTTCATTGCTAGCTGCTCCTGAGGACAGAAACCTGCCAACAGAAATACTCCTTTCTCTCTGATCCTTGCTGTGTTGTTTCCAGTTCACCACAGTTCATATATTTGCCTGGATAAAAAATATATCCTATATATAAAAATTATACATGGTAGAAACATCAGTTACCTGTTCCTAAATTATAAGGTTTAACATGAGGAATAAGGTCTAGGCTGATAGGTGCATAGATTTTTGGGGGGGTATTCACTGCCAGAATCTCAAATGTCACTGAAAGGGGTAAAACTGAGGTAGAATAGATTGGGCAGATCTGGGCTTTCCTCTCCTAAATAGTACATCTCTGACCTCTGCAACTGAATTGCCCAAGTCTCTCTGAATGAAGGCAGCTATGTTAGTTTACCACACTGCATGTGGACTCAGAGTTTG